AAAAAAGGAAGAAAATAAATATTTTTTCACAATTATTATTTAAAGGAGAAAAATTTTTAACGCTACTTTTTTTTGGTAAAATATAAATGCTTAAAACTAATTTGTAGTTTAGAAACGCAAGAAAAAAAGATAATTCAAAAAATCTATCATTTCTAAATTTTTTAACTTTGCCGAGTTTTATATCAAGCAAGAAATTGGCATTTCTTTCGCGGAAGATAATCATGAAGCGATTGATGAAGAAACAATTCATTTATGTTGGATGTGTTATCAATTTAATTTGTATAATGCATAAAATACGGTTTTATTTAAACTGATAATTTAGAAAGATTTGAACACAGTAATATGAGCATTAGCTTTTATCTTACAATTAATCATACAATTAATGAGCCAGTGGAATAATTAATGTTCGTACGATGAAACGTAACAAATTTCGTTGTCAAGAAATAATTATAAAAACAAAAGGCGTGACAAAATTTTTAACTAAAGTATTACATTACACAAAAAATTCAAATTTAATTCTCATCAAATTTGCACATAGCCATTTCTTATTGCTTTAATATTATATTCAATAATAGGGGAATTAAATTAAATAGATTGTAAAAAAATCAACAAATATGAGAAGGGGAAGATTTTTTTTTTTAAAGAGTCTCTTTTAAAAAAAAAAAATATTTCGACTTGTTATAATTTTTTTAACTTGAAAAAAATTTCCTGGCATTTCATAGTTTTTGAAATTTTTTTCGCACACAAATTGCAACAAATTTTGTTAAAATAAACTTGTTGAAATATTTTCAAAAAAGAAAAATGGCAGATAAATGAACGTTGAGCAAATGAAATGATTAAAAAACGAAGAAAACGAATGATAAGAATTGTTGAAAGATTAAAGTGATATTTTTAGAAATGAGACAATTCAAAGTAAGGCAAATTCGAAGCAGAAGAATAGAAATAATTAATCAGTTAAGAAAAAAATTTTTTTTATGAATTTGTGGAATTTTTTAAATACAAACAAATCTTGAATAAAATAATTTTGCTTTGCTTTTTTAACGTTCTTTCAACAAAAAACGTATTTTACTGCAAATAAAAAGATAAAGTGAAATTTGAGATTTCAAAACTAACCGTTAAATTAAATTACAAAAAAAAAGATATTATCATGTAAAAAAAATATTATGAAAAGCAAGGTTTAATTCTCACAAAAATAATTAAAATTTTAAAGTATGAATAAAAAGCATAGATATTCCGCGAAATTATTCATAAATGAATATGAAAAAGACTATTTGAATTTTGAAAGATAACAAATTTTTTTTTAATTTCATAAATTTGGTTTAAATTTATTTCATTTTAATAAGACGATTCATATCAGAATAGTTAATTGAATCGTATGAGGTAAGTTGCAAAATCGGTTGGTTCCAGAAAAAATGTCGCCAATTGATAATGTATTTCTTTGCTTACCTGTTTGATACCATTCAACAGTGTTTTCTGCACTGCTCTCACGCCTATCGATTGCAAATATTTTTTCAATGCTAACTGAAATTCATTCATACAGTAATCTATCCATGGAATATAGATAACGATATTACAGTATGATTGTTTAACGATATTACAGTATGATTGTTTAACGATATTACAGTATGAAACATTTTAATATAATCTTATACAAGAGAAGTATCCATTTGAGTGAATTGTCTTCATTTAATATATCTTCTGTTATAAGTAAGCATCGAAATTAATAAAGAATGCCTATCAAAATTTATGTTATTTGAAAACATTAATTATAGATAGGCTCGCATCTTTTGACTATGGTAATCATACTGTATGAAATGTTGGTAAAAAGTATAAAAAGAAAAAATTTTTTTTTGAAATTTAATAAAATATCTAAAAATATCAAGAAAGAAAAAAAAACTCAGACTTTCAAAGAATTTTTAGGCGAACACAGTTTTTTTCAAATGCTTCATAGAAGAAAGCATTCACTGAGACATCATTACATAAATCAAACGATATGATAATCATTTCATCTATTTTAATTATTTATATAGATTAGTTAATTTTCCTTTCATCGTTGATAGCTTATGGTATGAATGATACAAATAAATATCTATATTTTTAATTAAATAGAATAAAATGCTTACATCAAGTTCATTTCCACGACATACCGGGAGATTTAAACTAGTACAATCGATTCCTGCTCTATATAATATCATTAATCGTCGATTTATATCGGATGTTAAAGGACGGACGGTTAATAATTGCACATCGCATGGGAATGATTGGAGATGATGAAATGATGTATTTTTAAAAATTCCTGAAATTTTTGTCATTTTTTACCTTCCTGTCAAATGACTAATTTTTGATTGAATATTATTAAAAAGAAATACAAAGTGATAAAATTGAGGAATAATTACTTTTGTTTGAATGAGAAAAATCATTTATATCATTTATTACTTTAATCACATTGGAAATGATACATTGCCAGTAGTAAAATATCACTTATAATACAGTTACATTAATATTGGTATATTAACTGAAATTATCACTCACCGGAAATGATAAAAATATTCGGCTGATAAATAAGTGATTGAAGGGCTAAATGAGCATTTAGCGTATTATATGCAAATCGCCGTTGTTGTTGTTGCTATTAATTAATTGGAAATTCTTATAGAAAGGAAAAAAATGCTAAACTCAAAAAAAAGATAATTTTTTTTTAAAGAACTTTTTTCTTCGAAAAAAGACCAAAAATGCAAAATTATAATTACTATGGAATAATAATTATTAAATTGCAATTTTTTTTTGCAAGAAATAGCTTGATTATTTACAAGAAATATTATTTCATTATTTAATGGAAATTAAAATTTTAAGATTTGCAATGTTTACTTCATATGATTTTATTGATATCATTCGTTCCATAACAAATATGAAAGCCATATTAACCGGTAAATTATCCACCGGTAAACTATCATGACCGGGTCCAAGACCTTTTCCATCATCCGTACTTAGACGACGATCTGTAAAGTAAAAAAATTTGAATAATAGTTCATCGATTAGCAAAATTTTTCAACATCAATAAGTTTTAAAATTTAATCAACAGTATTATCGAATTGCAGGCTAATTTTATCACTTACCAAGCATAATTTCGAAATTTGTTTTATTAAATGTTCTAACACCGTGTGGAACATTACTGAGAATTGAAACTCGCTTAGATAGATCTTGCAATACCAATGCTGTTGGCATTGGATAATAATTCACTTCTGGTCGATTGTATAAATCGTATTCATCACGCTTAATTAACTGAAATATAAATTTTGGAATTAATTTTCCTTTAATTTATTAAAATTCCGCTTTTTCAATTTATGGAAAAAAATTCATTCAATTTTTTGATACAAATGATACAATATACATATATAGTCAATAATGAAAACTCATACTAGAACTAGACTTTTTTTATTAAGAAAAATTAGTTTGAATTTTTTCAAAATTTTTTAACACTAAAAATTGTTTGTTTAAAACAAAATAAACCAGAAAAAAAGTAAATAGTTAACTTTAAATATAAATTTTATTTATAATTTTATCACCACCAATAATGCTGGCTTAATAAAATGTAAATAACTAAGTAATGAGTGCTCATTTTTTTACGTTATTAAAGTTATTGTAGCATTGAAAGCATAAAACTTAGAGTTGAATGAAATGAACGGATAAAAAGCAAAATGAAAAGTTATATCCAATAGTTAATAATTAATAATGCTCTAACAATAATAATGATAATAATAGTAATAAGAATAACAATAACAGTAACAACAATAGTAATAATGATAATAATAATTCCTTTATCTTTATTTGATTTGAAAAAAGGCAAAATATTCTTGATTTTATGGAAAATGATAATTTTGTGTTAAGCTTTATGTGATACTCCGAATCACTCATAAATTATTTTAAGACGCTAATTATCTTGGGAGTATCAATAGCTTCACCATTATTAGCTATTATTTATCTCGTTGCACCAAAATCATCGTTTGGTGAATTCGCTCGCCGACCGTTTATCAAATTTTTATGCCATTCAGCTTCATACTGTTTTTTTCTCTGTTAGTTTTACTTTTTTCTCCTCCTTCTTTTTCTTTTCAACCTGTATTATTTATTGAAAATAAAAATGAAAATCTTACTTATTATTATATGCAAAAATTGAGAGAAATTTTTTTTTTTGTAAAAAAAGAAGTAATTTACAAATAATTTTGAATATGAATTGATTAATTAATGTTCAAATAAATTACTAAATACTTTCAGTTCTACTTATTCTTGCTAATCAACGAATCAATTATGATGTAATTTTTGGTACAAAATCGATACCATCGATGCATGATGAATATAATGAAGATTTAGATCGTAAAGAAGTACGAGGTCCACCACCAACACTTGTTGAATTAACTGTTCTTGCATGGGTTTTCGGTTAGTTGAATGTTTTTTGTTTTTTTTTGTTTTTTGTCAAGTAATTAAATTCACCAAGTTTTTTTTCCAGGATTTATTAATTGCATTTATTTGATATATGCAATAAGTTAGCAATAAGTTTATTTTATTTTTTTTTTGAATATAAATAAATTTTCAAATTGAATATGTGCATTTTTCATACACAATCAATAAATATTTGATAGTAATCGATTTAATGTAAAAATTTTATTTTTTATTTTAGGAGAGAAGATATATTTTAGGTTTGGTATGGGTTGAAATTAAGCAATTATGGAATGAAGGCCTTTGTGATTATTGTTCCGATCTGTGGAATATTCTTGACTTCGTAACTAACGCACTGTATTTATGCACTGTTGTACTTCGAATCGTCGCTTATTTACAGGTTTGCAAATAATATTTTAAATGTTAATTTAAAAAAATTAGCAATTAATTTGCTCTCAATTAATTATTTGTACTTCATAGAAACTAACAAGAAAAACTGTGATATTATAATTTTTTGGTTCATTTTTCAGGTTGAAGCAGAAATTCGTAATCCACAAATGCGACATTTAGGACGTCACATTATGCGACGTGATTGGGATGAATGGGAACCGACGCTAATCTCAGAATGTGCCTTTGCAACGGCTAACATTTTCTCATCCTTAAAAATGATTCATATTTTCACTGTTAATCCACATCTTGGACCACTTAGGATATCACTTGGTTATCACTTGTCCTCTCATTATTTATCAAAATCAATTAATATCCAATTCGTATCTCTTAATGTAATGAAAAAAATTTTACACATATAGATGGAAAGTGCTATAATTTTATTTTAATTAATGAAATTTTTCATTTTTTAATTATTTGATAAATTATAGGTCGTATGGTTTTGGATATTGTCAAATTTCTTCTCATTTATTTTCTTGTGCTATTTTCGTTTGCATGTGGTTTGAATCAATTATTGTGGTACTATGCAGCGATGCGTCAACAGGTACGGCGCATGTTTGTCTAAAACAAACTGATAGTATATCATATCATATCATAGAATGTCACCATGTTAAATATTCAATGAAATGAATGAAGAAATAATTGTCTTGATAAAATTTTATTTGTCTTCAATTTTTAATTTCTCAAGTTAACCCAAAATTCTGATAAATTGGGATATTTTTATTAAAATAAATAAATGATATATTTGGAAATCTCATAAACAATTCAGAATCCTAAAAATTTTTTGATGCAATTTAGAACATTCAGCACATTCCTGAATTTTGTAGAATTTAAATTTCATTTAGAAGATTTCATGCACATTTCTGGACTATGCAAAATTTTTCATGCTATTTTGAAGACTCTATGTGCTTCATCCGGATTTTTGCAAAATTCTCACATTATTTGAATGATCAGAAACAATTTAATTTTTCAAAGGAATGTGAAAAATACCAATCACTGATAAGCAGTTCATCTCAAAATGTCCCAATGAAAGAATTGATTCGAATGGAAGAATCATGCGATCCGAAATATCGTGCTTGCGAAAGGTTAGCAATGAAACATATTTTGATTAATTTTAATTATTTGTCAAATATTTTGCAATGAAATTTTTTCGCTAACAATAGTGGTCCAATAAAATTTTTACTATCATTATTTTTCTATTTGGCCAACTTTTTCCCATTTAGAACTTGAATATATGATTTTTTTTTTCAAGAATAACAATTTAAGTGTGTGAAATATAGAAAAAGAAAGAAGGAAAATGTCAATTGAATTCAACTATTTCATCTTATCCGTAACCTTTTTATGTCAAATGACCCAATTAATCTTTGATAACTGTTGATATAATGACATCTTGTTAAATAATAACTTAAATGCTCTTATAATTTTATGAGGGCTAAAAAAAAACAATGAAAAATAAGAGAAAAAAATCTAAAAATTTTTGAATGAGAATTGAAAAATTCGTATCTATGATTTAAATAGGTGTTAAATTTTTTTGTTTTTGATTTTATCATTTAAAATTATTAGTTCAGCGAGTGGTATTAATGGAAATATTTCAGATTTTAATAAAAATGATTCAAGAAATGATATTATTAAGAGTTAAAATATTGGTAAAATATTAGAAGTAAATATTTTTTTTATTAATAACATTATATTAAATATAATATTTAACATATGAATGAAATGTACCATTTAGTTTATACAATTCAATGGGAACGTTATTTTGGTCATCATTTGGTATTATTATTTTGGAACAGTTAGATATCGTCGAATCACATGGCCCAACAAAGTGGACAGGCCGTACCATACTTGGCTGTTATTGTTGTTGCTCGGTGATCGTCCTACTTAATATGCTTATCGCTATGATGAGCAATTCATATCAGGATATTTATGTAAATAAAATTTTGTTCTTTTTTTTTATTATAGACAAATTGATTGAAAATTATATTTTTAAGCAATTTAAAATTGAGACGTAATTGATATCAAAATTGAAAGAAAATCATTCATTCTTATCTTATCACTTAAATTCGTCAATTTTTGACATCTTATCAATAAATATTCAAATCCATTTTAGAATTATATATTTTCTTTTTTGAAAAATTTAAATTTGCTTCATTATATTTAATATTTAATATTGAAAAACGATTTTTTCTTTCTTTTTAGAATCAAGCAGACGTTGAATGGAAATTTGCTCGAAGTAAACTTTGGATTGAATATTTCGATGATACGGCAACACTTCCACCACCTTTCAATATGATTCCCAGTCCGAAAAGTTTATTCTATTGTGTTCAGTGGTGCTTAGAAAGCATTTATCAATCAAATCGAACTGTTGGTTATAATTTTCGTAGTATAAGGGTAAGCTGAAGAAAATATTTCTCTTTTATTTATACAATTTTTTATTAAATTTTTCATTTTCTCCTTACCATAAAAAAAGAAATGAAGAACGACAAGTTTGTTTAGGAAGGTAAAATAAATTTACAATTAAAAAATACAATATTACGAATAAAAAATTCCAATTAATTGATCAAAATTTCAATTAACGAATAATTCCAATTAATTGATTAAAATTCTAATAGCTTTAAAATGTTAGATGAATGGATTTTTGAAAGCAAAGATGCTTTCGAAGCTCATTTTATTCAATTATAAAATGAAAGTAATTTTTCAGAATCAGAAAATTCTCAAAACGATCAACAAAAGAGAAAATAATTATCGAGTAAGTTAAGAAATGATAATAAGTTGCGATAATTTCTATTAGGACAAATAAATAACAAAATGTAATTGTAAAAAAAATTGTTATTTGATAATAAATGATTTTTAAAAAAGTTCAAAATTTTTATTGAAAATTTTTTCAAAATTTTAGTTTGTTATGCGTAATTTGGTAAAACGGTATATTGCTCAAATGCAACGTTGTAAGCAACAAATTGAAAGTGTTACCGAAGATGACGTAGCGGAAATTAAGCAGGTACTTTCTACATCGGTTGATTCACTTGATATTTGATTTAAGCATTTTAATAAATCATTTCATATTTAATTTAAGCTTCTCAATGATTCACTTTTATATTTAATTTAAGTCTTTCAATGAATCATTTTATATTTGATTTAAACATTTCAATGTAAAAATACTAATTTGGCAAATTGTACATCTCTATAAAGTTCCAACTTATTTTCAATTCAATAAAAATGTTTGCTGAACATCGAAAATCATAGAAATGATTAAGTTGGTTATCAAATCTAATCATTGGTTTATCAGTTTAATGTTTGAATAAAGTAAATATCGCAATGAGAAGAAAAAAATTAAGTTCCAAAAATAGGAATTTCTCATATGCAGGAGCATTTAAATATTTTGATGCGATGAGTACAGTTGATATATTTTTTTAGAACAATTCTAATCCTTTCAGGATATCAGTGCTTTCCGGCGTGAATTACTTAGCATTCTACGAAATGCTGGCTTCAATACCGGTCCTATTGATCCTAAGCAAAAAACAATTTGTTAGTTTACAAATATCCTTTTCTCTTTTAAAATTCCTTAGAAAAAGTTTAAATTTATTTATCAGCTATCAATTTATAACATTGTTCAAAATTGAGCAAAATAATTCTAATAGTTTTCGAAAGAAAAAGTTTGAAAAATAGGAATTTCTCCTATATGCACACATTTTCACATTTAGAAAAATTTGAAAATTTAATTTTTACAACCGTACGTTTTACCTGTTTCACATATAATTTTATTTATTGTAGCTCACATTTTCACATTAGAAAAATTTGAAAAAAAAAATTTTAACCGTTCGTTTTCTGCTGTTTCGTACATAGCTTTATTTGTTGTAGCTCGAAGCAAGAAACGAAGTTTGATTGCGGAACGTCGATTACTGAGTGGTGTAACGGAATCGATGAGTATTCCGATGCCGGAACGATTACTGAATGGTACCAGTGATGATGATACAGAAGAGCCTCATGAAGTGGATCGAAAAGAACGCAGGTTTCTTTAATCAATCAATCAATTTTTCCTCCCAATTAATATCATCACAAACATTTGTAAAATTATTTTGCATTTTGCACTTTTTTTCTCTCTTCCATTTCTGTTTTGAAAAATAATTTTTTATTTCTGATGACACATCAGACTATTTATTTAATTAACATTGATCACAATATTTACTTATTTATTATTGATTTATATTTATATGTTTTCATATTTTACGCATATTATTCCCAGTGCATATTTCTGTTTTCATATACATTAATACATTTTCGATTTCATAGTTTTTTTTTTTCTAATTCTTTCATGTTAACATCATAACAAATGTTTGTGCTTATTTTTCTTTTCCACTAAATATTAATCATAATACTTGTATTGAAATAAATTGTGTTTGTAGATGAACTACTAATATTTGTTCGGCATAAAATTTCAGATGAATTTCAAATAATTTAATCGCACCAATACTAAATATATGTAATTCAATTGATAATGCAAAATGTTAAGATGATATACAATTGGTATAAATATTCCATTCATTTTTAATAGTCTTTTATCTTTTTTATTCTCTTTTATCATTTATTCTCCCTCTTTTTCCTTGCATTGATTATTAAATTGATAAGATCAACTGGGATTATTTGCAAATTAATCATCCAATTAAAAAAATTAAAAAAATGTTGTTAGTATAAGATTTTGAAACAAGAAGAAAATGGTGAAGAAGAGAAGATTGGTATTTATTTTGTAACTATTCTTTGTAATGTTTACGTTTGAAAAAAAAAAGGAAAAAGTGGAAAAAAAAATGATTTATATTTGCAGTTTAAATTTTATTCATATAAAAATTTCTAGAGGTTTACCTGTTCCAAAGCCAGCAGTGAAATTTGCAAGTAGACTTAAAAAGAAGGTATGTTTAGGCTATCAATCCTTTATCGCTCATTTTCAGCTATATATAGCTATTTAATTGATTGCAATTAAAATTTGAAAGCAATATAAATGATACATTATCAGGTATTACCACATGTAAGAACAAGTAATGCTGTAATTAAACCACGTTTTGTGAGGAAAGCACCAGGTGGATGGCCGTTTATTTCACGTGGTTTAGAAACGAATCTTAATGCTTTAATCGATATCTATTCTTTACCTGCTGATATGAAACCATCAAAGTAATTTCTCATTATTAAAATCATTTTTTTTTTAAATGTACTAGATATAAGATTTTTCACTTTCCTCTTTTTAAAATACTGAAATTGATACTGCGATTATATTTTTTATCTCTATCTTAATAACAGTGACATAGCAAGTTGTCGAATTAATAACCACAATAAAATTTGATTTCATCTTAAAATATGATTGAACAGTTTGACTTTGGTATGTTATGCTTCAGTCTATAGTTTGCTGAGTAATCACTAGTACGTGCCGTCGTAAACTTTTTCCTGAAGTTTAAGTTTTAAGTTTAAGTTTAAGTTTAAGTTTAAATTTAAATTTAAGTTTCTGAAGTTTTTTTCCCAATTCAACCCACCTGAATGATAAGAAAGATATTCGTTGTCATTTATTGTGTTTACAGAATAGCACGATCGACTGCTAAATCTCATGCTATCGAAAGTACGGAAAATGACGATGAAGATTTGGAATTAGTTGTTGATAGTGATGAGGATGATGATATTATTGATAACGATAAAGAAGAGAGTATCAATCAGAGCAGGTTTGATTTCAAGTAATTCTAGCAATACTTCTGAGAATATTGCATTTTTTTTTTAGAATTTATTTTAATTTTACAGTCAAGAAAATGATAAAATGAATCGGGGTCATTTTTCGAAGAAAGCACATCGTTATCGTTCGGGAAGTATTTGTTTAGAAATGGGTTATCAAGAAGATCCACCATTTAAATTGTGATACAAAAGAAAGTGATTTTTTTCCTCTTTTTTTGTTACAGAAATATTAAAATTATCGTTATTACGTAAGTGCATATGTTGATAATGAAGATTTGAAAAAATAATGTGAAAATACTACCACGCCTAAGGAAACAAAGAAAGAAACACAGATGTTAGAAAAGTGCTATTCCAAGCTAAATATCTGATATTCACGGGAATCCATTAGAATCGGCCTATTCCATCCCATTATTTTGTACAACTTATCAAATTTTTCCACAGTATCCTCTTCTAATTGAAGCATTAAATGATATGATTAAACAGCTTCATGGACTGTTGATATCTGATTTAATAAGAATTTATTTGAAAATAAACAAGAGATTAATGAAATTATTCATAAAATATGGAGAGCAATTGATGAATTTATTCATACAAACATTTCGATCGCAATTCACATATCTTTGGAGCATCCAATTTCATCATCATTATGATTCAGGACGTAATTGAAAGTTTATCAAACAAAATGATAAGACAGACAAAATAAGGTAAATTAGTTTCTGAAATAACAAACTTGTTATAATTATGCTAATAAATAGTGAATTGACGATTATTTATATTTTGTTGATTTTATTTATTTTATAATTAGTGCTGTTTGTTTACTCATTGTACATTTTTTTCGCATTCTTCTTGGTTCATTTACTTATATTTATTTGATCTTTTTCACTATTTAAAATAATGTCAAAGTTTTTAGTTGAAAAATCCAAAATCAGTACAAGATTACTGTTTTAGTGATAAAGAACAACTTAGTATCAATTAGTTCAACTATTCTGGTGCAATAAAAATGAGAGAAACTTACACTTAAAATTTGCAATGAGAAAAAGTGCTCCAAGTAGAAGTATTTTATCCCTTGCAGTGATATTTCGTGGAACTAAAATAACATTTTTCTTTTTTAAATCATAATTTTGAGATGGAGAATTAATCATTTGCAGAAAGGCTATTTTTAAGTTACTCATTAGTGAATTCAAATAAATTAAGAATAATGGAAGACGACTAACATGAGATATTGAAATTGTCAATAGTTGTAATTTTGTCATCTGTTTCTGCCAATTTTTTAATGATAATACCAACAAGAATGTCTTTATTTGTTGATATCACCTAATATTACATAATAATTTCAGAGTTTAAGGGATGATTTCAAAGCAATATTTACTGATTGTTTTTTTTTAATTTAAATTTTGCAATTAAGCTGCAAGTCAAGCTAAATTCCTCGGTTCATTATCACTTTTCGTATATTTGTAGTTTCAATATTTCTTCTTTCCTGTTAGAAATATACCTGCATATTATATCGATAATTATTTGTATTGGTAACAGGGAAAAAAGGAGAAAATATACTTCATATTGTATGTCACAGCAACAACATGCAAAGCAACTAAAGTTATGTGTCGAACCGATAATGAAATATTTCACATTCCCTTTTGCGTCCTGTACTTGATAATAAGGTCTGATGAGACTAATTTGCTGGACAACTGCACCTATAACTCGTTCAATAGTTGTAACTTTTGCACGTCAATTGCAATAAAATAAATTACAATGATTCAGGAGAGATACTGATAGAGTAATTAGGGTTATTAGTTAATGGCTCAACTGTACGTTTTCAAAAATGTTGTGGTATTCAAATCTCCTGTATGGCTAATTTCGAAATTTCAAAGTATGAGATCTAAAATTCATTCCGACTTAAAATAATAATCACTTCGTGAACAGACCAATGATAAGTCCTGGAGGTGATTCAATTATTATTTGATGAGAATTATTAGTCGAAAATATGCAACATATTGGAGTACCACATCCACGACCAAAAAAACTTCGACATGTTAGCACTTTTTCCATCCTTATCTCTTCCTGATTTAAGTTGTTACAGTTGCATACAGTATCGTGAAAATATGACATTACGCAAAAATGACAATGGCAAGTATGTTTTTCTAAGATTATAAAAGTAAAAAGGTATTGGAAAGTCAAAAATTGAAGTGATGTATATTTAAATTAGGATACAAAAAAATAAGCTAGAAAAAAAGGTTAAAAAATCCTACTCGAGACTAAATTATCGATTCATTTTCTGAAATATGTTGATAATTTAATATTACTTTAAGGATTTTTTGTTTTATTTTTATTTGTCTATTTTACCTGACCTAAAAGACATGCATATTTTAATAAATATTTATTAAAATATGCATGTCTTTTAGGTAAATTAAAACTTACTTTTCCTGTAGAAGAGGTAAAATGTAATTGAGAATATTGTGTTCTACAATCACACAGACATATATTATTTGATGTTTCAAATACATGATAAATCTGAAATTCGTATCGATCTTTCTAGTAGCTTCTTTGACATTTTTAGTTTTTTAAATTACTGTAGTAGATAGGCAAGAAATCTTAAGTGTGAGATATATTTTGAAGTGAAAAAAAAAATGACATTTCAAACTATCATTTGTTGATAATAAGAATTTCATCCTCTTCCTCTTTTCCCTTCCATCCGCAAAAAAGAAGAACAACAAAGTTGAAAATCCTTGCTTTTGATTATTTTTTTTTTTTATTAAAAAATCTACTCCTATGTAATAAGTACGAGTGAGATAAGAAAATGTTTCAGGCTACAAGCATTTTAAAGCTTGAATTATTTACACATCAGTTATGCAATGTTTCATATTTTTCGCATCTCTAATGTGATAATCTTATGCTTGCCTTCATGTTGAATAAAAGAAACGAAAGGAAGCTAACTGATGAATGGAGTTAAAATATTACCAATTTTCCGTCGATACTTTGAACAACATATCGATTCTTTCTAAGAAAACCAAGAAATGTATCGATCGCATTAGAATTCTACCAATGAATCAATTTAGAATTTAATCTTTAATTGAATTTAACAATCTAAATTTATCTGCTATTGTTTTCCTTCTTTTTGTTTTTTGTTATGTGAACATTACATCTCTTTTTTGGAGAGAAAAATTTTAATCAAATAGTTTCAGCGACACTTTGAAGTTCCTTCTTTCAAATCGTTTGAAAGTTTTTAAATTTAATGACGAAAATGATGACCTGTCGGATGTAAAATTGTTTAAGTGATTCAAGTCTTAACGAAGTTCTATGTTCACCTGTCGGTAAATAATTTCTTTGCTCTTCATCTAAATATGTTGGTATTATTGTACTCGAAATCATCTGATAAAATTAAAGCAAAATATATTAAAATATGAATTGAAAGAATCTATACCATCTTTACTGCTAGCGGTAGTTTGATCATTAACTGTGTTTGAAATTTTAGCATTTTTGGAAAAGTTCATTTGTGGATGAGGTTGACTGGTAATAACAGCAGGTGAAATTGCTGCAAAATATTCCGATTTCGAATTTGAACTATCATTTTCTGAGAAATGTTCCATGGTTGTATTGCTTTCAGAGCTATTTTTAATCTCGTGACTTTCATCTTCTTTATCTCGTCTTTCTGTAATTAAAAATATTATTATAAATAATAAAGCAAACTGTATCGAATTGGTTCTAAACTTCTTATTAATCTTGGGCTTCTTTTACATTGATAAAATTCGTCGTTTATATGATTATTTACTGATTAAAGATCATTCGGATAAATAATAAATGATACAGGATATGGTCAGTGTAGGGATTATTTGGCCTATAAATATTGGACTATCTCAAAGTATCTCAAGCAAGAAGCTGAAGCATTTCTTCTTTCAATATAAGAATTGGAACACGACTTAAGCAATACCATGACCTTCGACTTTTACTGCTGCTCTCTTTGACATCGTCTAACCGAACGGCACTGTCAAAAATTCAGCAACAATCATATGGAAATGATCGCTGTCAATAAATAAATTTTTTGAAACCAACTTTTTTTAGCTCAAAAATTTGCATATCGTTATATGTAAGGATCTTTTTATATAAGCTGAACATTCAGAGCTTATCATAACAGATTCACTGATGACTTTTTGGTAATTATACACGTACGTTGGTGTGCAAATAATATATGTATGCATAAACACGGAGGCACATGATGGAAACATAATAAAAGTTCGTAAAGTTTTGAAAATGAATTTTTAAATTTTTCTCGTGGCTCGATTTTTTTTTCAAATACATTTTCTACATTTTAATTTCCTACATTTTAATTTTTCAAATACATTTTAATTTTTGTCCCAAAGCATTTTACCCAATCCCCGACCGGCCCCTGAACCGTTTCACATTTATTATGGTGAAAGTGGGCGCTCACGATCTTTTTCATATTGACCGAGAAAATTCGAGCACACACCGTGCGAATATTTTTCAATTTCACGTCTCAACACTTTTGGATGTACTTTTTTCTTTCCGGAACGTTCGTGAACATTCTGAGGAGAAAGAGAAAGTGATTATTCATTCATGTCTGCCAGACATGTTTTAATCACGTTTTACGTAAAGTCATTCTCAGATCGTGTACTGTTTGCGTGAAGTATTTATTTTTCAGATAAAAAGTCTCAGATGGCGGAATTTCCCGATTTTGGCCGTCATTGTAACTTTGATGGCTGTAATTTATTAGGTTATATCTTCATTATTATTCATAAATTTCAAGTTATGTATTCGAATTTAAAGTTTACAGCAATAATAGCATCTTATTTTGCTTGACGTTATTGGAAGTCGCGTCACGTAAATAATTGGCAAATCACTCTTGATAGATATGTTATTCTGAGTTAACATTTAATTTACTATTAAATGATATTATTGTATTACTATGGTTTACATGGACAGATTCAATAATGCGTATTAGTGAATTAACATCAAATTTAATAGCATTGTAACTTGAAGGGAAAATGGTATAGTTTAGATACCATTTTGTTTTCTTCGTTACATCTAAGGTACTTTATTGGATGTCATTTTTATCCAGTAATAAATAGGTTTGATTGCTTTCTCCGAATCACTTTATACATAAATGATAATACCTTCGCAACCAGTATGCTGTATTGATTGGGAAAAATCAGCTGTCATCAACGATGAAATGCTAATCTGAATTAGCAAAATATCGCCTTTTATGATACATTTGCGATGTGTATTTTTTTCATTTTAATGCACAGTCCATCATCTTTTTTTTATTTGTGGCATCTATAATTTTCAGATTTTCTTCCCATTCGATGTGATGCGTGTAAAAAAGATTTTTGTGGCTCGCATTACTCATATGATGCACATTGCTGTCAGTCTTCATATAAGAGGGTATCATTTCATATTGTTACTAGAATTTGATTTCAAAAAAGTTTTAATGAATTTTTCTGACTTCATTATGTATCAGTTGCATTCATGGGATGAAGTTTTGTTGAATTTTCAGGATATGCAAGTACCAGTATGTCCGTTGTGTAGTAAGCCAGTTCCAGTAGCACGAGGAGAACGTCCAGATAAACGAGTAAGTGATCACATCGATTCGAATTGTAAATCAAATCCAGCCAGTGCATTAAAAGGAAAAATTTATACGTATCATTGCTCGCAACGAAATTGCAAGAAAAGAGAGGTATTTCATTTCTTAAGTTTTTTTTCTCTTTTCAGAACGATTTTCTATGGATTTTGTTTTCATTTGGAAAGATTTTTATATGTGGAATAAATACATTTGTGTTTGTGTCTTCAGCTCAAAGAAAGTTGCTAGGTCGAGACATATATTATTTTCGTTTATTTTCTTCATTTCTTGGTTGATAATTTTATCCTACATTATGCGGATCTAAATTGTTTCTCTAGCAATTAAAAAGTTATTTAGCAACTAGAAATAAACGATTCAAATGGCTTAAGTGCAAAAACTCATATTTTTAAAAGTTTGTATGCACTTTCAAACAATTTTGACAGTGGATCATTGAATAAAATGAAGTTAAGTCGCATTTCAGCTTGTTTCTATTAAATGTAATCAGTGCGGGCGAAATTTTTGTTTGAAGCATCGATTTCCAGCCGATCATGATTGCATGGAAGTGAAAGACGAAAGACCGCTCTCAAATGCAGCGTATGTTTTATAATCTTTTCTTTATTTTCTCCTCTCTCTCTCTCTCTCTCTCTTTATTCTCTTTAATTGTTGAAATTTTAATTGATGCTAATTTTTTTATGGTCATATAAACTGATTAATGCGTAATATCGACTATAGATTAGCTGCTTTGCGTCGCAACAAGAATTGCCGGTATGAATCAGTTACAAAAGAATCTGGCAACAATCTTCCCTCAATTAACTCAGTGGTATCTGCATTTTTTTGTTCAGTTGAAATTTTGTCCTATATTATTTTAATTCATATGCTTTTTCTTTCTAGCATGAAATGTGAAACCGACGGCCTTATATTTCCATTATTGAAACCATTGCATAATATTTTTAGTCGGAAGACGAAGCACTAACACGAGCCCTGCAGGAACTGCTAAATAATTCTGATGATTACATGACTTTAGAAGAACGCGACAGAGCTATTGCGGAAGAAATGCAAAAAATGGAATATCAGTAAGTTTTTTAAAATATAATTTTCGCTGAAGTAAATACTAAAACCGACATGTTTTGATATTTCAGAGCCGTAATATCTTATTGGAATCTTTTTAATATGTCGACGGATGGGATGTTCTGAATAGACAATAACTTATCTTTTTTGAATGTCTAAAAATTTTTAGGCAGCAATTGCCAGAGCAGCAACTTCCAACGAATTCAAGTCGTGAAAAGTGCATTATTTCATAGCCAGCCGAAAATATTTGAAACTCCAAGTGTTTTTCAAAGTAATTTTCTTATTCCATTGAAATTTTCGTTTTTCTCTTGAAAAAAAGAAAGTTTTGTCTTGTTTAAAATAGTGAAATGAAAAGCTAAGCTTTTTTGAAATTGTATGCTATAGGTAGATTTCTTTTTTCCGAATTTCATTTTTGTGCTTTATCAACTTTGTGACTGATTACATCTTTTTGTACTTTATCACTCGATTACTGACCATTCGTCCGACTTTCATTGTATATGTGATCGCATCTGCTACGATATCATACTTGGGTTGTGTCAGAGATAACATTGTATGTCTCAGGTTGCGTTTTTATTCTTTCATCATGCTTATTTCTCGTCTTATTTATCCGTAACCATTCGTACCGTAATCTTTTTCCAGTAATTTGTCAAAGTGATCCGGTTTTAATGTTAAATAAAATTATGTTCTGATATTTTGAGACATCGGGATTGAAGTTACATTTCGTTCATGCATTAGATTTTCAGTGTATTAAAAATGCTTAAGTGGAGGAAAAAGGAGATCTCTGAGGAGAGAATTCTGGACCCTATTAAAAAATTTGAATAAACAATATTGAAACTAAAAATTTGGAAAAATCGCTTCATCTTAGTTGGATGTTCTAGGAATTGGCCCTTCTATTCTCTACTTTCAAGATTTCCTTTCTATGACAGATTTCTCGAACAATTGAACTTTT